TGAGTGGGCACCCTAGGGAGGGATGTGGAACAGAGCTCCTGGGTCCCTGGGAAGGAATGAAGGACTAGGCACCCCTAGAAAGAGCTGGAGGAATCCTGCAGGATTACTGCATTGCCAGAGGGCAGGGCTCTCACTCACCTGCACTGATCCAGGCTGGGACCTGGAAGCTGCAGCAGTAGCAGCAGCAGCAGCAGCAGCATTATTGGTGAGCACAGAGGCAGTGGAGCTACTGGAGGGTGTCAGGTGAGGGATGGTCTGGCAGCAAGTGTAGTCACCAAGCTGGGCTGGCCACCCCTCCTTCCTCCTTCCCCAGACCCCACACTCACCCTGCCCCTGGCCTCACCCTCCAGTAGGGCATGGGTGCCAGGCAGGGCGGACACCTAGGACCATATGCGAGTGTCCCTCCTAGAGCTACCATTAAGTATGATGTTCTGCTGTAGGTTTATTTCTATGTGTTCTTTATACTAGTGAAGATGGTTCCTCTATTCCTAGTTTGCTGAGAGTTTTTATCAGGAATGGGCATTGGTGAACAACTATTGAAATGGACTCAAAAGAGAAATCAGAAAGTATCTGAGAGAAACAAAAATGAAAAGACAACATACCAAAACTTATGCGATGCAGCAAAAGCAGTTCTAAGAGGGAAGTTTCTACATAAATACTTAATTTAAGAAGAAAGAAAGATCTCAAATTAACAATCAGCTTTACACCTCAACAAAGTAGAAAAAGAACAAACTAAGCCAAAGTTAGCAGAAAGAAGGAAATAATAAAGATTAGAGTAGAAAGTAAGAAACAGAGACTATAAAGACATAGAAAAAATCAACAAAACTGAGTTGTTCTTTAAAAAGATAAACAAAATTGACAAAATTTTAGCTACACAATCAAGAAAAAAATAAAGAGGGCCCAAATAAAACTGTATAATGAAAGAAGAGACATTACAATTGACACCACAGAAATACGAAAGGATCATAAGAGGATGTGACAGCACGTGCAGTCACATAGAGTAGGCCCCTGATAAGTGATAAATGGATGGAAGAAAGTCTACAGAACAGCCCAAGAAAAGGAGAATGAACTTGTGTGTCCAATGCAAATCCTGGAATCCACAGCACTGGCCATTCGCAAGCAAGGAGGGAACAACAAAGAGGAAGTTTCCACCACCTCCTTGTGTCACACAATTTCAAAATCAGGCTACATTTCAAATAGGTAGTAATCGGACACCTAACCCATGTAAATTAAGGACAACTTTGAGGGAAACAGATAATGGCAACAAAGCTCAGTGAGCTCAGTCTCCTGCCCTCTCACTTCTTCCCAGCCATTTTGTTGCTGACCAATGCAGAGGTTACATCTAGAAACAGACAGTATTCAGGAGACCTCATCTATGCTACCAGATGCTTGAGGAAATATTATCTACTTAAAAGATATGAATGAAGCCCGCCTTTTGTGGTTTTCTCAGGAACCACCTTTGGTGCTGGGAAACCACCCCCCCCAACTGACTGCCAAGAAAAATCTCTATCGATTGCAAATGTTGAGGCCCAGAGCATTGTGGTCAATGAGGCTACAGTCCCACTTGTGGATCTGTCATGTCCAACTGCCCCCACCTTGAAGACCAAGCTCCTGGTATCAGATATAAGCTATGGGGGTGGTTGGGTTTTAAGGAGTTTGATGAGTGTGACTGGACACTGAAAACAAGATGCTTAAATGAAGCAAATACCTGAATTTGTAAAATGTGATGATACGTGAGAAGAGTTGTTTTAACTTGGGTGGTGTGAGAGGAGAGAGAAGGAAGCTGGACAGCAATTTCTAGTCCTGAAACCAGAGCATCCCCCAACACAAGAATTCATGATCTGTCTTACAAGGTCTCAGTCTGAGTGAAAGTCTCATCTCCTGATTCATACCTGAGTATTCATTCTCAGAGAGGGTCAAAAAATAGGTGATAGTAACATAAATAAGCAGTACACGTATTAAAAAAAACAAAACAAAGAACACTCACCCTCGCTGGTAAATGGGGAAATACTTACTAAAATAACACGAGGATGCCATGTTCATCTTCAGGTTAATGAAATATCGAGTTTGATAATTATTAATGTGGTCTCTAGAGGGCGATATTCCAGTGTCCGGGGATATAAAAGTCAACATGGCACTGATACTCTACACTGCAAAACGAACAAACAAGAAAACACGTAAATGATCGAGATAATACAGATTGCAAAAGAGGCTTCAAAACAAAACAGAACAATGAGATAGAATGACCGGACGTGGGATGGGGGAATTATTTTAGATTTGGTGGCTTCTGAAGAGAGGACATTTAAGCTGCTATATGAACACCAAGGAACCAACCTTCTGAAGATCTGTGGTTATGTCCCTGGCAGAGGGAACACTAAGGTAAAGCACCTGAAGGGAGAATGAGTTGGTTCTGTTTGAGGAGCAGAGAGAATGCCAGGGTGCCTGAAGTGCAATGAGCGAGGAAGAGAGTAGGAGGTAAAGAGGTTGACGAGCAAGAGACGGTGGACTGCAGAGGCCTTGCAGGTGCTGCAGGAGAGGGAAGGACTTGATCTGACTTACATTTTAAAAAATACTCTCTGGCTGCTCTATGAACAATTGAACACAAGAAAGAGACCCAGCAGAGGGCTGTCGCAGTTGTCCGGGTGAGAGGCTATGTTGGTGTGGACCAAGGTAGCAGCAGAGGAGAGAGGACACACCTCAGGCACAAAATTTAAATGGACACCAAAATATTCAGTGATCATGAAAAATAACATTTTAATTTTAAAATAAATTTTTAAAAATACATGTAAATAAAATAATTGTTTTAAAATGTATATACCAACATATAATTTTAAATATTGTATATATTTATGTTATGTATTTGTAATTTATGAACAATCATAAGATAATTTTAACTTTATAAGTCTCTTAAAAGAAAATATTTTAAAAATTTCTTGAAAATAAAAATAATCAAACTGGCAAACTATAGCCCTCAAACCAACTGCCTGTTTTTATAAATAAAGTTTTAACTGGTGCCAGGGACAGGATTAGGCTGACCAAGTGAGGGGAGTCATGCAAGTGCTAGGTTGGATACTGTATTTAAGTAAAACTATAATATTTTGTTTATCGTATATTTTTGCATTAATTTTTAATTTTTTAAAAAATATGACTTTAACATATTATCTATCTTGACTGCTGAATTTGTTTGCATCCCCTTAAAAACCATGCGTGAGGCAAATGTTTCACTCATCTCACGCTAGTCCAGTCCCTGAGTAGAGATAATGAAGAGAATACACAGATTAATGATAAGTTTTGGAGGTAGAGTTGACAGGGCTTGTCAATGAATAGGATGTGACATAGGTAGGTAGGTAGGTAGGTAGGTATGCAAGTAGATACAGAAAGAGAGACAGTAAAGATTACTGAGTACTACAGATTTTTGGCTTGAGCAATTGGTTGAATAGAGGATCTTTTACCAAGAAAATTATGGCTGGAGTGTAGATGCCTCGTATATTTCTTATGCAATAAAAATCAATACAAAATTTTTTTAAACAGAAAAAAATGGCAGCTCCCCCTCTAAAAATGATGCCCCAATATGACAAGATATGGGCTGTTATTTTCAAAAAGCACAGATGACCAAACCATGGTCCTAGGCTCTAAGTCAGAGAATTTGCACTTAGAACTGACTGTTGCCTCTTTTGTGACTTACAGAGTTGTACACTCAAAGCAAATCTGTGTGGGGACGAAGAGTCAGGATCCAATGGCCATCTGTTTTACCAACAGGACAAAAGGAGCTCCCACACTGGTAGAGTATTCCCAGCATGGTTTGACAATGGGATTTAGTCAGGCTTCAAGGTACAGTCCTCCCACAGCCTGTACAGGCTTGGGGAATGAAGGGAGAATTTCATGGGACTGTAGGAGAGGAAGAACTTTTCCTCTATCCTTGTAGGTTCTTCTGGCTGGTCTAAATTAAATTAACATGAGACAGAATAGCAGGAGAAAAGTCAAATAAATTTAATAACATGCATACATAGGAGAAACCCAGGAAAACTGAGTAACTCACCACCTTGGCCAAGGCCACCACCTTAAATACCATTTTCAGCTAAAGACAACAGAGGATGCTGGGGGTAGTGGTTTGGGACTTCAAAGGGGAGGAAAGCAATTCACATGGAGATGTAAAAGAAAATGTTTGGTAAACAAATGTTTGTCATGCCTTGCAGAGACAATGAGACATGGAGAGGACTTTGATCAAATGGGTCTTGCTAGGTTCTTCCCTGTCTACCACACCTAGTTCATATTATACTCCAGTTATCTATGGTGATAGCTCCTTCCTGAAGCAGGTGTTCTAGCTTAAATTCTTTTAGGCAGTTAGGGGGAGGTGAAAATTTCTTCCTGAGTCTTTTATTCCTAAAAATAATCAAGCCAAAGAGACACATTTTGCAGTGGCAAGTCCTGCTCCCCTACAGAAATAAAGCTAAGGAAGGAGTTCCTTACCAAATACTGCAGAAAATGTCAATATTGAGAGAAGGAACAGGACTGAGAGCAGAGTGGGAGTGTTACACCAAAGGATCAAAAGAAAATTACTGTAGAGCCAGAAATCTAAGAGTCTGGGTGAGAGGAAGAGCAGTGGGTCCCTGTAGCTGGGGAGGGATCCAGGACAATTATGCAAAAGACACATTGTTGTATGTTTCCTGTTCTTCTAAGCTAATGGAGCCATGTTGAACAAATGTGTTGCCCAATATGTAGTGATAAACACCAAGACAGAGTCAGAAGTTATAAGGGGTTTGGGTCTAGAGTCAGCATCTAAGATGAAAATCCCATGTCATCATCCTATTCTTAAAAAAAAAAAAATCTTCAAAATAGCTCGTGGATACTGTACCATCTCTTGGCAAATCCAATTTAGTCCATTTCTACTCCAGGACTGAAACTTATTTCAATGTCTTAGTTGAAGACAAATTGCAGTAACTGGCTTGCATTTGTTTTGTTTTGGTTTGTTTGGAGTTTAGTTTCCCAATCTTACAGTTAAGTCTCTCTAAGATAAATGGTTGTGTGTTATGACTCTATGTTTGAGTTCACTTAACAAACTCTACCCAAGGATCCCTTATGTGAAATAGGTACACATATACGTGTTGCTCAATCTTACCACCAAGTCTTTGACTTTGTAATGTCCATTGCCTATCAGGTAAAGAATTAGAATTGGATAAATTGAAATTATTCATTTATTCAATCCATGAATTCATAAAAGTGCCTGCTGGATAACATCCAAGACCTCCTAAAGCCCTGGTACCCAGAAGGCAGCATAATGCCAACCAAGACAGATACTGATGGAATTTAAGGAGATTCTATTGGCCTTAAGGTCATACCCCAACAGTCAGGAAATGTCCCCAAGTCACCCAGATCTACAAAGAAAGGAGCTTTCACAGTGATTCTATAAGATATAGGATTAAAATCTGTGCCAAGTCCCTAGTCTCCAATTCCACCTCTCTGACAACACAACACCAAAACTAACCACATCGGGGCCAGCCCCATGGCCAAGTGGTTAAATTTGCAAGCTCCACTTCGGCGGCCCAGGGTTTGGATCCTGGGCATGGACATGGCACTACTCGTTAGGCCATGTTGAGGCAGCACCCCACATGCAACAACTAGAAGGACCCACAACTAAAATATACAACTATGTACTGGGGGGAATTGGGGAGGAAAAAAAGCAGAAAAAGAAAAACAAGATTGGCAACACTTGTTAGCTCAGGTGCCAATCTTTAAGAAAAAAAAAAAACAAAACTACCCACATCATTATGATGGGGATACTGAGATAAGAGGGGACTGGAGGCACCTGGAGGGCTGATATTGAGTCAGAGGCCTACAGGCAGGTGTTTAACAGATCTTGTGTTCTAATGCATATATCAGAAGATATAAGCAATCAAGAAATCCAAACACAGATTTAGGACCCTGCAGAATCAACTTGCCTTAAAGAGGTCAGTAGTCAAAGAGTGCAGGAATTGAGAGCAGGTTTGAAGGTCTCTATCTAATGTCATTTCCAATTCTGTGTTCATTGAACGTCTCCATACAGTAAGTGTGATATCTGATCTCTACTCTGTGTTGGTTACTAGATCAGGAGAAATGAAGGGTTCAAAGATGAGTCAGGTGTGAACTTTACCCTCAAGGATTCCACAGGCTAGTCAGAGAGCCAAGACAAGCATATGAATAACTCTAATTCATGGCAGAAAGTTTGCAGTTCTTTAGGAGAAAGCATTAGGGGGCCCAGAGGACAGAGCAATCATTTCCAAAAGAGAAGGGCATATAAAGCATTGGAGGTGAACTCTGTATATGGGATTTGATTATGTGGAGGTGAGAGTGGAAAGAGCACTCAGAGCAAAAAAACAGCATAAACCAAGCCAAAGCCTGGAAGAGAAAAAGCAAGAGGATGTACGGAGCGCAGACCCAGTTTGGCTGAATTATAAAGTGTGGAATGAAAAGAAATGAGAGGTGAGAGTGAGGCCAGATGGCCTTGAATATCAGAAAATAATATGGCCCTTATCATGACAGCAGTGGGAAGCCATTGAAGGATTTTTTTTTTTTTTAAGCAGGGAAATATGATCATCAGAACAGAGTGCTAGTACATGAGATGATTAGACCAGGAGGCAGTGGCTGTGACAGTTCAGTTCATTACAGCCAGGACAACAGCCCTGCACACTTCCAAGCCCTCCTGCTCTGCCATCTAAACCTGGAGAATTCCCTCGTACCACTACTTTACTTTGGAGAAACTCTAACTCCAAAGAATTATTTGCTTCAAGCACAAGAGCAAGGAAAGTGTTGAGCACTGAGATGGCTCTGGCATTAAACAGATAAACATTCAAACCGCAATTCTGCCAAAGAGTGTGACCTTAGGCAAGTCATTTCACCTCATGATACTTCATTATTATTTTCAAAATGGGATAATGCTGTATTTTGTGGACTCCAAGATTTTTTTTACATTTCACTGTTAAAATCAGACAGTGCCTTACGATCAACAGCATGCCCGAGTTCAAGTAGCAATGCTTTGTGTTCTTGATGAGTCATAGAGCAATGGTGTGACTCACAATTGATGGCATCTTAGATTGACTAAATACAGTAACACCTACCTCCTAAGGTTGTGAGATTTAAATGAGCTATTGTACAGAGCATGCTTAGCTCAGTGCCTGAACTGAGGCTGGAGCTTAATAACAGTAGCTACCCTAACATGGGGAGGAGGCAGTAGGACATAGTGCTTCAGAGCCCATTGGCTAGATCAAGCTTCAAATTCCAAGGCTGCACTCACTACCTTGTACTAGCTATTTCATGTCTATGAGACAGTTCTCTCATCTGCCAAAATGCCAATCTTATAGCATTTTTGTTAGAATTAAATTAGATATAACTTAAAGTAAAATTTAACAGTATCTCTCAAGACTTACAAATGCACATGCCCTTTTACTCAGCAGTCTGTTTCCAGGAATTCATCCCAGGGATACATAGCCAAGGATAGTTTTTGCAATATTTGTAATAGCAAAAAGGCTATTTTTGGGGACTGGTTAAACAAATAAAATTAACTCTATCCAATGGAATAGTATGCTATTTTAAAATATAGCTCTTCTGTATGTTTCATATGGGAAGATCTTTAGTATGCACTGCTCAGGAAAACAAACAGTGCACAACAGTATATAGAGTGTGCTGCTATTTGTACAGAAGAGAGTATTTAACAAGTTAGCATGTTTAAAGCACTTAACACAATACCACATATATGGTGTAAGAGCCTGAATATACAAAGGGACAATGGCCAGACCACATGTCAAAGTAGAACTCTGACCCACAATCTGCAGCAACCAGCCCAGGAAGCCACCCTGCTGTGTCTAAGTCAGAGTTGGAAGGAGTCAGACCACTACCCCCAACAACCTCCTTTGTCTTATCTGAAGATGGTATTTAAGGTGGTGGTTTTGTACATTTTAGTGAGTTACTCAGCTTTCCTGAATTTCTGCTGTGTATAAATGCTATCAAACTTTGTTTGATTATCTCCTCTTGTTCTGTCTCATGTTAACTCAATTCTTAGACAAGCCAGTACAACCTAGAGGGTTGGAGAGTATTTCTTCCTCCCTTACAAAGGTAAATGTAGAGTTAGAGAGTTTCAAAAAACCTTAGTTCTCTTAACGGAGAAATTTCAGTTTTTTGAACATAGGAAATTATTTTTAGAAAATAGATTTTCTGTCTTTTAGGTAGACTTACTCAAAAATAAAGAAAAATCTTTTATAGTTTCTTTATCAAGATCAGACTAAAAATTCAAGTAAATGATCCTTTTAAGAGAAAGAGAACAAAATTCTAAGTTTGCACCAGCTTACTTTTGATATCAAAACACATTTGATTAAATTTATTCCACTCTTAGCCAACTTGACCACGCACAAAACTCTTTTCTCAGGGTTCCTCTTCCACAAGCCACCTAAACTTTTTTTAATTTTACATTTAGAATATGTTCTATGTCTTTCTTTTTAGCCTCTCTTTAGGACAAAAAATATTATGTTTTTCCTAACCCATTTTACTTGAGGACAAATTCATTTTTCTTAACAAAACAAAAATATCCATTTCTTACTTTTCCTACTGGAAACGTACATCTTACTTTCTTTGTATACAGAGATGCTTTCCCTATTTATTTTTAGTAGGTTAATCACATACATAGAGTTTTTAACACCTAGAAACCTTAATGTTTAGTGAAAAGAAAGAAGTAAGCAAGTATAAACTATTTTTTACATTAGCATTATGTGGCTTGGCAAATTTATAAATATTTTTCATAATTTCTATGAACATGTTACTTTACGGTACAATGTTTTAATAAAGCACAAGATGTTTATTAATAGACCCAAACATTTTAAGTTTCTTTCTAAAAATAAGACAAAAGTGGGTAAATTTAGACTTGCTTAGCAATTAATGTTTCAGTGTTTTATTCTATTTGAAAATGATCTGGATATTTAATGAATTTTCCATCATTTAATTTAACCAGGCAAAACTTCAAAGGTTTGAGTGACGTCAGCATCATGGCGGAGTGAGCTGTTCCCTGATATTCTCCTGTCTGGTATACAAAAGAGGATATTTAGATACCAACAGAGGACATTCACACAACACAAAAGATGTCTCAGAGATGAAAGCAGCCACATGTCTGAAGGTGGAGGTACTGGATCCCTTGGAGGAAGGGGAAGGAGGTAAGGTGAATTTCCTCTCCCTCCAAAATGGTAGCAACCATGAGACTGCACATGGCTCTGAGAGGAGAGAGGGGAGGGGTGGCCCTCTGCGGGAACACCTTCACTCTCCAAGTTCCCTCACAGCCCATGGGAAAGCATCACACAGAGGTGATTAAGCCATTGTGGGAATGTCTTCATCAAGCTAGGACCTAAGGAGAGCAGATAGGAAGGGCAGAGAAAGAACACCTTCAGGATCACACAGGTGAAAGAAAGCACTCCTCCCCCCTCCCGGAGCTCCTGCTCAGCCAGTTGGCCAGAGGGCCACACAGATAGAAAAGCAGCCAGTGGCTGAATCAAGTGAGCTGCAGATCACGGCAGGCTCAGAATATAAAGCTCTTGACACCCACCCAGTGCTGGCAGGGGGAAGCTGAGACCAGATACTATCACTATGCAGAGGCACACATCCACACCATCAAGCAGTATGAAAAAATATATTAAATCTCCAGACCAGAAGGAAAATTACAAGTACCCAGTAACCAATCCTGAAGGCATAGATATTTATAATCTAAATGACAGAGAATTCAAAATTGCTATCATAAAAAACCTCAACGAGCTACAAGAAAATACAGACAGTTCAATGAAATCAGGAACTCCTTCAAAGAAAAGGGATTGAAAATATAAAGAAACATCAGAAAGTTTGGAGATGAAAAACACAATGAATGAGAAAAAGAAAAATCTGCACTGCTTAAACAATAGAGCTGATATTATGCAGTAACAAATCAGCAGTCTTGAAGACAGAAATATAGAAATGCTTCAGATGGAGGAGTCGAGAGAACTAAGATGAAAATGAAATGAAGAAATTCTCCAAGAAATATCCGACTCAATTAGAAAATGCAAAATAAGGATTATAGATATTCCAGAGGGAGAAGAGAAGGAGAAATGGAGCAGAAACCTTGTTGAAGTAAGTAATAGCTGAGAACATTCCAAACATGCAGAAGGAGGTGGAAATACAAGTGAAAGAAGCCAATAGATTTCCTAATGGTATCAACATAAAAAGAAGTTCTCCAAGGCATATAGTAGTAAAGATGGCAAAAGTAAATGACAAAGAAAAAATACTAACGGCAGCAAGGTGGAAGAAAATAACTTACAAAGGAACCCCTATCAGGCTTTCAGCAGATTTCTCAGAAGAAACGTTACAGGCTAGGAGAAAGTGGAATGATAGAGTCAAAACTCTGACAGACAAAAACTTTCAGCCAAGAATACCCTATCCAGCAAAAATATCCTTCAGATATGATAGATAAATAAAAACTTTCCAAGATAAACAAAAGCTAAGGGAGCTCATCACCCCAAGAACACTCCTAGAAGAAATGATCAAGCTGCTCCTCATACCTAGAAAAAAATAAAGGGGGGTTACAAAACCTTGAACAAGGAGAGACAAAATCAGAAAATTGCAGCTCTCTATCAGAACAGGTTAGCAAACAATTATAATGTTAAAGATAAAGGGAAGGAAAACAACAAAAATAAATGTAATCTCCATTTTAACCACAAACTCAAAACACAAGATGGAACTAGATGTGACAATAATAACTTAGAAGGGGAAGAGGTAAGGGATGGAAATGGCTTCATCTAAGGAAAGCAGAGGCTATCATAAAATGGAATATCTCATCTATGAGATTTTTTTTATACAAATCTCATGGTTACTACTAAACAAATAATTAGAACAGACACATAAATGATAAATAAGGAGAAAACTAAGAAAACCATCATAGAAATCTACCTAACTTGATAGTCCAAAATACATGGCACAAGAAACAAAGGAAATGCAGAAGAATGGAAAAACAAGTGATAAAATGGCAGCATTAAGCCCTCATATATCAATAATCACTCTAAATGTAAATGGATTGAATTCACCCGTCAAAAGCCACAGAGTGGTGGGATGGATTTAAAAACAACACCCAACAATATGCTGCCTCCAGGAAATCCATCTCATCTCCAAAGACAAACACAGGCTCAGAGTGAAGGGATGGAAGATGATACTCCAAGATAATGGCAAAGAAAAGAAAGCAGGTGTTGCAGTATTTATATCAGACAAAGTAGACTTCAAGATAAAACAGGTAATGAGAGACAAAGAAGGGCACTATATAATGATCAAAGGGACACTCTGCCAAGAAGACATAGCACTTATAAATACATACGCACCCAACACAGGAGCACCAAATTACACAATGCAAGTATTAACCAGCCTAAAAGGAGATATTAATTACAATACAATAATAATAGGGGACCTCAACACCCCATTTACATCAATGGATAGATCATCCAGAGAGAAAATCAACAAAGAAACAGCAGATTTAAGTGAAAAACTAGACCAGATGGATTTTATACACATATACAGAACACTTCATCCAAAAACAGCAGAATTCACATTCATCTCAAATGCATGTGAAACATCCTCAAGAATAGAAGGTATGTTGGGAAATAAGGACTGCCTCAATAAAGGAAATCATATCAAGCATCTTTTCTCACCATAATGCTATGAAACTAGAAATCAACTACAAGAAAAAAAGCTGAGAAAGGGACAAATATGTGGAGGCTAAACTACACGCTACTGAACAGCCAATGTATCATTGAAGAAATTAAAAGAGAAATAAAAAATATCTCGAGACAAGTGAAAATGAAAATACACCATGCGAACTCATACAGGGTGCAGCAGAAGCGGTCCTAAGAGGGAAATTCAAAGCAATCCAAGCCCACCTTAACAAATTTGAATAATCTCAAATAAGTGATCTTAAACTACACCTAATAGAATTAGAAAAAGAACAAGGCCCAAAGTCAACAGAAATAGGGAAATAATAAAAAATTATAGCAGAAATAAATGAAATTTTGACCAAAAAGACAGTAGAAAGGATCCATGAAAGGAAGAGCTGTTTCTTTGAAAAGATAAACAAAATTGACAAACCCTTAGCCAGACTCACTAAGGAAAAAAGAGAGAAAGCTCAAATGAATAAAATCAGAACTGAAAGAGGAGAAATTACAATGGATAACACAGAAATAAAAAGGATTTTCATAGATTATAAGAGAATAGTATGAAAAGCTATATGGCAACAAATTGGACAATCTAGAAGAAATGCATAAATTCTTAGATTCATACAACCTCCCAAAACTGAATCAAGAAGAAGTAGAGAATCTAAATAGACCAACCACAAGTAAAGAACTTGAAACAGTAATCAAACACCTCCCCAAAAATAAAAGTCCAGGACCAGAGGGCTTCTTGGAGAATTCTACCAAACATTCAAAGAAGATTTAATACCTATCCTTCTCCAACTACTCAAAAAAAATGGAGTAAGATGGAACACTTCCTAACACATTCTATGAAGCCAACATCACCCTGATCCCAAACCCACACAAGGACAACACAAAGAGGGAAAATTACAGGACAATACCGCTGATGAACATAGACACGAAAAATAACAAAATATTGGCAAACAGAAAACAGCAATACATTAAACAGATCATACACCATGATCAAGTGGGATTTATACCAGAGATGCAGGGATGGTTCGACATCGGCAAATCAATCAGTGTGATACACCACGTTAACAAAATGAGGAATAAAAACCACACGGAGCCCTCTTTAAAGATTGCCTTGGCTGAAGAGAGCTGCCTTCCTCAAGGTTACACCACCTTCAAGGGACAGCCCGCACTAATTACTGATTAGTGTGGGCATGTAAAGGCCAGGATCTCTTTATCTTGGAACAACTTTAAGGGGCTGTCCAAAGTCCAGAGGTCCCAGTGGGTTGGCTGAGGGCTTTTTGGGGAGTTCACGGCTGATAAATTTCTTCCTCTGTGAAATTCCACATCGTTCCCCTTGCTTCACAGGTGTTGATCCCAAAAGGAATCCTTAATAAACTTCTTACACAAGTAATCTCTGTCTCTGGGTCTGCTTCTTAGAAATCCCAACATACGAAAACACTCCAAGCTCCTTCCTGCCTCAGAGCTTTGCACTATTAGTGCAGAATTAATCACCAGTTGTTCCCTTTGTCTATTGGTTTAATTTTCATTTTCCTTATCACTTGTGGGTTGAGTAACTTTTCAATTTGCCTTTCTTTTGGGGAAGCTGTTCTACAACAGTGATGACTACTCCATCATCTCCTTGAGGTTCCCCCACCCCTTTCTGGGGTTCTGAGACACAATTAGCTTGGAGTGCAGATTTTCACATTTAGATGCAACAGCATCTACTGCTGGGGCTAAAACTTCATTGGTAATAATGCACTTTGCTTTTAAAGATTGTAGTCTGTAGAGGATGTCTTTCCGGGTCAGCTGAGTGGTTCCTGGAATAAAACCATTGCTAAAGGAGCAGAAAGGAAACAGTGTTTAGAAGGAAGGATTTCCTTCATCATGTTCGTTAGGATAGTGTAGATGGTTCATGTACATTCTGTATTCTCAGAATGAGTTAGTCAGAGTACCAGCAAGGGATCTATTTGTCTTCCTTTCATTATTTTGCTTTGCCTTTCTTGGGATCTCAAAGTTATGACCCTTCTGACCTAACATGAAAGGGTGTTAAAAGCTGGATGATTATCTTGTGGCTGAAGATCATTCATAATGCTCAGCTTGAAGAGGGTTTTGATTGAAAAGTAATGTTACCAATGTTGATTGAGTACTTGAGTGCCAGGTGCTATTCTAAGTGTTCTGCATGTTTTAACTCATTTAATCCCCACCCAAAACCCCCAAACACAAAAGCTGTGAGTGACTTGCCCAAGATAACCAGTAGGAAGTGGCAGTGTAGGAACTGAACGCTGCAGCCTGACCCCAGAGCTGTACACTTAACCACTTCCATCCAATGTCTCTTAAAATGGGCATGACTGTTTGATGGTTTTTTTCCAAAGGAAGAATTAAGGCATTCATCTTTTCTGTGCTGCTACTCCGACCTGCTGTGACTTCCACTGTGAGGTGTAGTGGAATGGTTCAGAGTGTGTCCTGGAGCCAGATACTCTTACAACTTCACCTTGGACAAGCCACTT